GCCAAGTTGGTTGATGGAAATGAGCTTAGTAAACAAATTTCTAGGGACTGTACTCTCTTAAAATGAATTGGTCAAAAATAACTAATTATAAGTCATATTTGACTAATTGTCATAGCGAAAAAGCAGTCACTAATAATTAGTCAAATTCCACTGAATGAAATAGTCAATAGTCAGTTGACAAGTTTGTTGACAAGTTTGTCAAGCTAACCTCATAATGCATTCGGCTGTCAGCCGCTCTTATAAAAATCAATTTTATTTGTCAATAAATATTGTTCATAATATTTTAAAGTTTTTATATTATTTGTGTTGCTGTTTTGAGCTAAACTTTTTGCATCTTTATTTGTTTTATGGGGCATTTAACCATGTAGAGGTATATGCATTTAATTCAAATAATACTTTGTTGTTGGCCGTAAACGATTAAAGAAATTAGTTACTTTTAACTGTCAGAAATAGTCAAATATGGTGACTAATCTTAAATTAGTCAAACTTTAACTATTTACGTAGTAAAAAATAACTATTTAAAAGTGAAAACGACTATTTTATTAGTAAAAATGCTGGTACTAATTCAAATAGTAGAATTTTGACTATTTCATTTTTAAAGAGTAAGTTGTTAAATATTTTGCATTTAAATATAAGTATTAAAAAAAATTTGACGAGCTGTCTCTCCTTTTAGAAAACTTTAAACTTCATTGTACTGATGTTATTGTATTAAGTGAATGCTTCCAAATTTCAAATGTTAAAATTTACAACATAAGAGGCTTTTAAACTTTTTACAATAAGGCTGATTTAAAAAAAAATATGGGGTGATAATTTTTGTTAAAGATGACATAAATGCATGCTTCTCTTCTGAACAGCTACCAAACTTATTGGTAACAGTCGAAAGAGTGACTTTTAGTAAAAATAATATATCCTTTGGTATTACCACTGTTTACAAACCCCCACCACCTAAAAAAGGTGTTTATAGATGATGTGTGTGCCTATCTTATGGAAAATGCAAAAATAAATAGCTATGAATTTTTCATGGGTGAAGTAAACATAGATCTATTGAATACAAAAGACAATGATGTTACCTACTATATAGCTTGTATGGCTGAACTGGGATTTCAATCACATATAAATTCTGTAACCCGCGTTGAAACAAAGACATGTCTAGACCATATATTTGTTAAACAAAAAAATAAATTTCATCATCATGATCCCAATTCATTCATACTGAACACATTTATTACTGACCATAATCCTGTTATGATTAATTTAAGAAATAATAAAGAACCCACAAATAATATACATCCACTACCACATAAAATAAAAAAAACAAAAATGGATTTAGATAAAATGAAAACATTGCTACAAAATCAAAATTGGTCAAATGTTATAGTTGTAAATGATTCAGAAACTGCTATGCATAATTTCTCGAAAACATATCTCTAAATAATCAAAGAGTCTCAAACTGAAATTACTGTTGCACAAAATAAGGAGAAAAAAATTAAAAAGTGGATTACTATAGGTTTAATAAATTTAATTAGGCACAGAGATAAACTAAAAAAGCAGCTACTTAAACAGTATAGCTATCAACTTGAAGCAGACTGTAAACCTTACATAAATTAAATAAATAAAAATAACCTAAAGGGAATATATAATATAATTAAAGAGGCAACAAATGAAAAAGTTAATAAGACTAGCAATATTCAATTAGTGGGGGATAATGGAGAAATAATTAACTCAGATATTGAAGCAGAAAATTATTTAAACAAATATTTTATAAATGTAGGAGTAGAAATGGAAAAGAAGATTCCTTCTCCAACAAACAGGTATTCATTAGAGTTTGACATTTCGCGGTCTATGTTTCTTAATCCGATAACGAAAAACGAACTTATCAATCATATATCTTCTCTAAAAAATAATGTTTACCAGGACATGATGGTGTTTCTACAAAAATTATCAAAATGTACTGAAATATTTAATCCACTCCTACATGTGATCAACCTTATTTTTGCAACGGGAAAAGTACCAAGTAGCTTAAAAACATCCATTGTGACTCCAATATTAAAAGCTGGTAATGCCACCGAGGTAAAAAATTATAGACCAATAAGCTTGATAACAAATTTCTCTAAGATATTTGAAAAATGTCTCAAGAGGAGATTGGTTGGATTTTTAACTGCAAACAATGTCCTCTCACCACATCAGTATGGTTTCATTGAAGGTTGTAGTACAACCGACGCGATGATGGCTTTGACTTCCGATATTGTTAAAAATCTAAACGTGGGTAAAAAAGTATGCGGTATTTATTGATTTGGAAAAGGCTTTCGACACTGTTTCTCATAATAGACTTCTAAATGTGCTAGAAAGTTATGGAGTCAGAGGTACAGTGCTACAACTTTTGAAAAGCTACCTTACAGACAGATATCAAATGGTTCGAATGAATAAAATACTAAGTGATCAATCAAAAATCGAAATGGGTATGCCACAAAGCACAGTCCTGGGTCCCATTATTTTCTTGATTTACATGAATTCTATGTTAAAATTAGATATAAACGGGGTATCAATTTCATACGCGGATGATACTGCATTAATATTCAGTGGAAAAACTTGGAAAGAAACTAAACAGAAAGTAATGAATGGTTTCAGGATAATTCAAAATTGGCTCTATTTGTACAAGCTCTCACTAAAACTTTTCAAAACCAATTATATAGCGTTTTCATTAACTGAAGCAAATAGACCACACTTCTCAACTATAATGATAGATAAAGATCAAATTGAAGTTTTAGAAACTAAATACCTCGGGATAGTTATTGACAAATACCTAAAGTGGGGCCTCCATGTTGATTATGTTACAAATAGAATCAAAAGATTACTACATAAATTTTATCTTCTTAGAGAAATACTTAAGAAAAAACTTTTAAAAACAATTTATAAAAACTTTGTAGAAGCTGTGATTCGATATGGAATACTGGTGTGGGGAGGGTTGTACAATAATTATCTAAAAAAACTTAACATAAAAAAATTATTTTAAAAATATTTTATAAAGAGCCTAAGAGATATCCGACCAATATGCTTTACTCTGAAGAAATACAAAATGTAAGATCTATATAACACAGTTTTCATGTATATCAACAAAAATAAAGCTAAGCTTAACTATAAAAATCATACATATGATCCCAGTAGTAGAACAGACCAACAAGTAAAAACACCTTTAAGTTACAACAACATACATTTTAAATTTATTACTTACATAGGACCTAAACTTTACAACATCTTACCAAAGCAACTTAAAGATATTAAACAAGCAAGAATTTTCAGTAGGGCAGTAAAATCATTCATTTATCAGTATTATGAAGAAAAGTTAGAATTTATGTTTAGATAATTTATAGACTTTAATATCAAATATTTAACATTGACGTATGTCGATCGACCTTGTATTTGCAAATATATTTAATTTCTGGTTGTATAGCACACACAGGTGTCTGCACACCTAGGTGCTACTTAATCCATTGTTATTAGTTAACTAAAATTATACTAAAAATTATGTAAATGTTTTAATAAATGTTTATACTCTACTACGACGAACAGAAATAAGAATTTTATGCCAATTTTAATTCATAAATTTTTGACATTTAACCTCACTTTTTCGCAATTTATAATAAAGATAACTTCAGCTCGTGACTAAAATGCCCAAAAGCCACTGTTGCCAACTTCAGCCCGTGACTAAAATGCCATACAGTCATAGCTTATCAAGGCGGAAGTAGATAAAATTTATAATTCTCGCTTCTAGTATGTATTTTCAAACGATTAAATTTATTAAGGAATTATGAACTAATCTAAAGGAATTATGAACAAATACTTAATACGTTATAACAAATTTTCACTTTATTTACCTAAGTTACGAAACCATCACCAGTCAACAAGGACTTTATATTACAATCATAACATTTTAACTTTTTTCAAGCGAATAACAATTCTCATAATAATATTTATGAAATATTTTTGACAGTTCTGACATTTCTCTACCAAACATGAATTGACTAAGTCAAAGCCATCTAAATTTTAAATTATAAATAAAACTAACAATATCGCTTCTTAACTGCATTAAAAAAATTATTATATCTTTTACATGGATAAAAATAACAAAACAAGACTAACTAGACTAAAAAGATGAAGGTGAGGACTACATTTCCTGAAAGTTTTAGATTTTTATTTTTTCCTCAATAAAATGATTTCTGAGGGCAAAATTGGCTAATTTTGAAAATTATCCAGTTTCAATAATTTTTTTAATAAAGAAAATGATAGTCTATAAACTTAAAATAATAGTTACGTTTTCTATTGTATAAGTACTTGATACCTGAAAAAAAGCAACTTTCTAGATTTAGCAGAATAGGCACAGGAGCCAGACAAAAATCATAAAAATTGGCAAATTATTACAAATCTTTACCTAGTGGTTTACCATTCTTTTATGAGATGAACTAATTAGATAATAATAATTAATATTGAAAACATAGTTACTAGGCACTAAAATAAAATTACAATAATTTCAATAATTGCCACAGAAAAAAAGTTTTAGCCTATTATAAGAGAGTAAGAAAATGACACGATTTCAGGTTTCTAAAGAGTGCCGATTAAAAATAAAGCAACTAAAAATTAAAACGGCAACGGTTTTTTATATATGGTACCTTAAAGATCATTCTCAAATTTTTTCATTAAAATAAAAAATCATGCAGCGCACTTTTAAATTCATTTTTGGTGTTTTCATTTGGATTGACTCTATTTATATTTGAAATATTTTGTAAAGTTTTTTTTCCAGCTTATTAAATATGTTAACCTTCACAAAAAAATTTATATAATTATATAAATTCAAATTAGACAGAAATAATCATAATTTATGATTCATAAATTTTGCAAAAAACAAACATAAAAACAGTAATTAACGCAGCAAGAGTGGATATGTTAAAAGGAACTGTTTTACTAAAATCTTTTTAGTAGTTCACTGTATATAATTTACATACTTTCTTTTCGGTCAAGAAATCCGTCAAGAACTATCTCCCTATACTTCCAGTCTTTAGGAATAGTTTTCTCTTTGTAAGGGGCAATAATAGTGACGTCATGACCAGCTTCAGCAAGACCTTTGGCCAAAGAACTACCCAGATTGTAGTGACTGGGTGCCATCATGGGAAATACTATCAATAACCGCGAACATTTTGATAACGCGATCAAGAATGCGACAAAAATAATCAGCACACTACCTGTTCGCATCGTGCAATGCATCATGTGACTGAGACTTGGTGCAGTATGCACGCGGCAGGTATAAACTTAATAATGGGACGATTAACTTTATATTATCGTACTATCGCGCAATACAAGATGAAATTTTGGTGTTTTCATATTTACAAGGTGTAAGTTGGGACAAGATTAAAGGCTCATTCACAACCTCGAAATTAGCAAATAAAATTAGTAATATCACTGAAATGGTTGGACTCCCTAACGCCTGAAAGTATAAAAACCGTAATACAATTTTAAATTTTAAAATAATATTTTATTCCGTTTTGTAAATAAGTCAACTAAGGAAAGTTTTGCTACAGAAATAGGGCATCTGGTGATGTTAAACCCGATAAACAACCACTTAAGATATTTTGGAATGCAAAAGGGATCCTACCAAGTTCAATATTCAGGGGGTGTCCGGATATTAGATGCAAAATTAAATTAGTTAAATATATATAAATAATAAACCGGTAACTTATACAACAATGCTATTACACTGTACTACGAGTACACCCCGTATTATGTTTGCAAGGAGGAATACCTCTCTACGGGACGTCCTTTTGTCAGATAATAAAGAACCAATTTATTGTAAATATTAAAATTTGTTATTTAAATAGTTAGTTAGTTAAATAATAATAATATAATAATAATATAGTTTATTTGCTTCCAAAAAAATACAAAGCACGTCAAGGTAAAAAGAATATAAGGTAAGAAGTGTAAAGAGTAAAACATATTGAAATTGGTAAGACAGAACGTATTAAAAACATGTTAAAAATATTACAAAACAAATTATAAATATTACAAAACAATTAAAAGGACAGATTAAAAAATTCGTTAAAATCGTAGATAACATTATCCAATAAAACTTCTTTTATAGTATCTTTAAAATTTGGTTTACTTTTGAGTCTTATATCTATCGGTAATTTATTGAAAAACTTGATACCCCAATGGTTAAATGAGTTTTGGGTCCTGGAAATTCTGTTTTGTGGTGTCATCAAATTTTTTCTATGGCGTGTTCCATATCCATGATTAGAATGGTCTGTATAGGAGTTTTGATTTGAGTGAACATACATTAGACAGGTAAGTATGTAAGTAGCTGGTAACGTCAGTATTTTAAGTTTTTTGAAAAGTGCTCTGCAGCTTGTTGTTTGACCTGTTCCTTCAATGGCTCGTATTGCTCTTTTTTGTAGGAGGAATATTTTGGTGGCCTCCGCTGATGCCCCCCAAATCATTATACCATATGACATTACACTATGAAACTGTGCATAGTAGGTAAGTATCGCTGCCTGGTTATCTATGATATTACGTATTCTACGAATACAATATATGGATTTTGACATTCTTCTGGACAGCTTAGCTATATGCGTAGACCAGTTTAGACGGCTATCCAGATAAAATCCTAATATTTTTATATGCGTTGGATTTGAATAGTTTGTGCTGCATATAGTTGTTTGTGTTTTTTCTAAGTTTAACTGTAGACCATTTGCTTTGTACCATAAATGTGCTTCATCTATGTTTTGCCTTTGTTTGTTGTTAAGGGTTAATATTTCTGTGTGGTTGTTGATAATTGTTGTATCGTCTGCATATATACACATTTTTGCTCATGTTACGTTTGATGCAAGATCATTTGTGTATAATATGAATAAAAGGGGACCTAAAATCGATCCTTGCGGTTTTCTTCTTTGGATATTTGACCATTCCATGCGACAACTTGGCGTCGATCTTTTAAGTATGAGCAAAAAATACGGTTGGCTGGTCCTCGCACTCCATAAAATTCCAGTTTTTTTACCAATAGGTTGTGGTTGACACAATCAAAAGCCTTACTGAGGTCCAGGCATCCAAGTTGTGATTTTTGCTTATTGTTAAAGGAATTATTGATTGTTTCGATTATCTCCACCATCGCAGTTAAAGTAGATCTTTCCTTTCTGAACCCGTGTTGGTATGGGCTTAAAACTTTTTTTGTTCAAGGTATTTGTACAATCTATTTTTAAGTAGCATTTCCAAAATTTTTGATATTACTGGCAATATAGATATAGGTCTATAATTTTTACTGTTGTTTGGATCATCTTTTTTAAATATTGGAGTTACCTTGGCTAGTTTTAAGTTGTATGGGAAAATTCCCTGTTGAAAACATTTATTAAATATATTACTGTTGCAATATACAGAGGGAATACGAAAAAGTTATTGTTAATTTTGGTTTTTGTTTTTTAAAAAATAATTAATATGTTTTTGATAGTTGTTGAAAAAATGTCAGAAAAATTATAAAAGAAAAAAGATGTCATAAAGTAGTTAAGACCTTGTAAAATCATCCGACCCATAATAAAGACAACAGTTAGTTCGATTTATTAGACGAATTTATTTGATTTGGAACATTTGGCGACCGCGACAGGACGGGTTGGAAAAAAGTGTTTTTTACGGGTCTCTTATTCGCAGTATCAAGATTTGTTATCGTTTATTGAGTGTAGCTCAGTAAAATGGAAGTGAATAAAAGAAGTCGCACTGTGATTAGAAGTTCAGTTACGCGTAACCTCACCAAGTTGCAACAGGCTTTGAGTAAAAAGCCTCTTGATTTGGTAACAGTGGAGGCCGAGTGGCGGTTGGTGCAAGACAGATTTGAGGAATTGAAAGCGTTAGATAAAGTTATTTTCGAGCAGCTGGCAGAGGCGGAGGTTGTAGAGGAAGAATTTGAAGCAGAACTGGAAGCCTGTGACCAGTATATCGAAAAGTATCATGCAATGCACGTTACATGTGTTAAGTTATTGAGTCCAACTAATGCGACAGTGGCTGAAACGAGTTCAGTAGAGACTGAAGAAGTTGAGAACCAAGGTGATGACACAACAGCAACTAGACGTAAGTTTCGATTACCTGTAATAGAATTTAAAAAATTTGACGGAACTATTAAGGAGTGGCTGCAATTTTGGGGTCAGTTTAAAAAAATAGATGAAGACATAAGAATAGACGAGCACGATAAAATTGAGTATTTAATTCAGGCTACTGTGCCGGGTAGTAGAGCGCGTCGTTTGGTGGAAAGTTTTCCGGCTGTTGCAGAAAATTATCCAAAAATCGTTGATAGTTTAAAGTCGCGTTTTGGTCGAGAAGATCTTCAAACCGAAGTTTATGTAAGAGAATTACTAAAACTAATATTAGTTAATGCTACCGCACCTGAAAAATTAGATATTGCTTCTCTATACGATAAAATTGAAACACAGCTTCGGGCTTTAGACACGTTAGGTGTAACTTCAGAAAATTGTGCCGCAATACTTTTTCCATTGATAGAATCTTGTTTGCCTCAGGACCTGTTGCGAGTATGGCAACGTACGTCAGCTTCCATTTGCATAAGTAATTCAAATGCAGGTTCAGTACAGAGCTTAAATGTTGATAGTGTTTCGTCGCGTTTACACAGCTTACTAGAATTTTTGAGATCAGAAGTAGAAAATGAGCAGAGAATCGTGCTTGCTTCTGAAGGTTTTGGGATTGTACCGGCCAATAACACTTTTAAAGTAAATGAAAAACAGTCTTACAGGGAAAGAAGGTCTCTCTTCAAAGGAGGGTCAAATTTACCCACCGCTGCGGGGTTAATAAATCAGTCGATGAATAAATGTGTGTTTTGTGAAGGTACACATGAGTCGGAAAATTGTTTTAAGGCACAGGGGATGTCTTTTGAGCAGAAAAAACAGATTTTATCCCAGAAAAAGGCGTGTTTTAAATGTTTAAAAACAGGGCATCTAGCAAGACAATGTAGGGTTAAATTACGATGCCTTATTTGCTCTAAGACACACGCGACGTTAATTTGTGCTGATTTGCCGGCTTATCTGAAGACAGGTGATGAGAAAAAGGAAGCAACAATTCATAAAATAAAATCACCAGTAAACAACAATAAAACCGAGACATTGTCAAGTTCGAATTTTACTGATTCTAGTGTTCTTTTACCAACTTTAAAGGTAAATGTAGAAACTAAGAATGGCCTTCGAAAAGTTAGAGCCTTGATAGATAGTGGTTCGCAGAAGTCGTACATCGTAAAAGCAATAGCACAACGATTAGGCTACCGATCTAAACGTAAAGAGCGTGTTGTACACGGGTTGTTTGGCGGTTCGAAAGTTGAACAGTTGCATGAATGTTATGACGTCACATTAGTTAGTGGAAACCGATTTAATTTTGAAATGTTAGATCAAGACGTCATATGTCATAATGTTTTATCGATTAGCCATGGACCGGCGTATGAAGAATTATGTAAACTTGGCGTTTGTATAGAAGACGTAAATAATTATGAACCCATAGAGATTTTGTTGGGAGCGGATATAGTGGGTGCTATTTATACGGGAGAAAAACGCGTATTGTCGTGCGGTTTAGTCGCACTCGGTACGGTTTTCGGATGGACAGTAATGGGTAAAGTAAATAACGTTAAACCTACTTTTAATGCAACTTTGTCATGTCTAGTTAGAGATTTGGCTATAAGTGAATTATGGGAATTAGATGTACTGGGGATCAAGGATCCAATCGAAAAGAAAAGTAGAGAGGAAATGACGGAAGCAGCACAACAGTTTTTTAATGATACGACTGAGAGAGACAGCGAAGGTAGATATGTCGTAAGGTTACCATGGATTGAAGATCATCCTCCACTTCCTACCAATTACGATATTGCGGAAAAGAGATTACAAGTTGTTTGCAAGAAGCTGGAACAAAAGCAACTTTTCGATACCTATAATAATGTACTGGAAGAATGGTTAAAAGAGGGCATTATTGAAGAGTTGAAAGATGACGATAAACAAGGGCATTATTTGCCACATAGAGCTGTAGTAAAAGAAAATTCGACAACGAGAGTTCGACCTGTTTTCGATGCGTCTGCTCATAAAGAAAATAAATCTTCGTTAAACCAATGTTTAGAAAAAGGAGCCAATCTTGTGAAACTCATTCCTTCTATCATTTTACGGTTTAGAGAAGGTAAAATCGGTGTTATTTCAGACATAAGAAAGGCCTTTTTACAGATTAGTGTCTGCGAATCAGACAGGAATTTTTTAAAATTTCTTTGGGT